GCTATTGCAGCAGCAGCTGCTACAGTTGTCGTTGGCATCACGGCGGCGGTGGAGGCAGTGCGGCCATTTCGCACCGGACGGTTGTCGGCCTGTGCGCGTCGCGTACAACAAACTTTGGCGGCGGCGGTGGTGTGCGGGCGTTCGGTGCACATACAACTACTGGCACGGTGTAATATGCGCGCGCAGCCTACCGCGGCGGTGCCAACCGCCGGGAGTTTCTATTCCATGGACCACGGGCCACGGGGTCCCCAAGCACGACAGACCCATATGGAGGCGCCGTCCGATACACTCGTCGGGAGAAGTGGCTCCACCCACACGTTACCGACGCCGATACTATCGCGGGGAACGCGGCGTGGCGGGACAGCGCTTCGTTTTACGTTCCATGGTAGAGGTCTCGGCCGGCGTCACCTCCGCTATCTGGGCGGTGCGCCCCGTGCGAGTGTACAACTACACCGAACACCGACACCGCGGTGGGTACGCTTACCGTTCTGTGCACCACGAAAATATTAAATAATATGGTCGGACAGCCGTGTTTTGTATATTTACGTTTTTGCTGATCCGAGATTATTCGGTGTTTTTGTTGTTTTTTGTATTTTTTTTTTTCTTCCCGATTCGTCGCGCTCCGGTCAGTCCACCAGCCATCCAGACAGCCATCGTCCGACCGACGCCGCGCCGAAACGGCCTTCCGACAGCTCAACCCAGACTCAACCGCCACAGCCCACAGCCTTAGTCGCCGCCGCCGCAGCCGGAGCTCCGCGCACTGTACACCGCGAACCTAAGCGCCCCGGGAGCCACTCGCTAATCACCAGCAGCGCAATGGTCCTGATCAAGGAGTACCGAATCTGCATGCCGCTGACCGTCGACGAGGTAAGCAGAGTACACCACCGGCGGCGCGAGTCGTTCATTTGTTTGATTATTTTGGCGGCACGTCTACCGGTGGCCGCAACGGTCGTCGTGGGCCTGCTACGAGATCTCGTCGGGGGCCCGTCGCTTGTCCCTCGCCGTGGGGGCCTTCCGCTGAAACCGTGGACCCTTTTTGTTTTTTACTCGTTTCAAAAACAATACCCCTTTGGCCCTCCTTTACATCGTTTCTCTCTCTCTCTCTTTGTGGCTCCGTTGCAATGTTGTTGTGTGTTCGTAACTGCGAATTTTTTTTCCCGCGAACGTTGCCAAATTATGTCCTGTGCCCCCTCTCCCGAACACCACCACTTGCCCCCTACTTCCGCCCGCGATCACCGTTTTCGGCGGGTGTAGTTGACCGTCTGCCAAAGTCTTATGCGACGGTTTCGATGTGTCCTGCTTTAGCTTGTCCCTTCCGGTTGTGTTTTCATTAAAGCGGCATTCGACACTCGACAGACTGTGTCTGATCACTAGCTCTTGTGTTTGTAATATTACCTACTAATTTGCATCCACGTCACGACAGTTACCTGCTCGTATGGTTCATATCGTTCTGAACAACCGAAATCCCCCCCTATGAGTGACTGTAAGGATCCTAGAAATAACCAACTCTATGTAAATTGACATTTTTGGCAAATTTTATTTTTACTCATATTTTCGATGAAATATATTTGGATAATACCTACCGATGTTAAAGGTTTGTTTAAATTATTGTTTATGATAATGTGTTGTTATTTTTTGTAAGCACCCTTTTTGTTGGTTCTTGGTGTTGAGCGAGTGGACATATTTTATTGTTCTAATGAACTATTTAGTTACCTTATCATATTTGTACAATTTAAGAGCGAAATGTTTGTGTGCACTGTCTGGCTTCGGTGATGTTCTAAACTATAGTTGTACAAACAAATGTTTGGTCACTAGTATGATAATGCATTTTTGGCAACCATTAAAAATATCACAATGAAAATACATAATTAATTCTTAAAAGATCTTTATTATTTATAAAGTTGATAGGTGCTTATTGAGTAAATAAAATGGTTGAAATAATAATGAAAATACACAACTAGTGCTCGGATGGTATATACTACTTGCAATTTACCTACCTATTGAATAATAATAATAATAATAATAATAATAATAAAAAAAAAATAAAAATGGAAGTAATCACGAGAACACACACAGAAACTAATAGATGACATAGTATTAATTTTATTATAGGTACAAATTCAATTTGAAATTAATTAATATAGATAGGTATGTAGGTACTTAAAATTGATTAATAACACCTATCTAAAAATCATCCATAAAACTCAAAATTAATTAAAGAACAAATAATGAGTTTTATGGTTGATTTTTAGATATATACCTACCGTAGAAGTGGCTTACTTAGGGCAGTTTTTTGAACTTTGACAATGTATATCTCAGTTAATAATTATTGTATGGGGCCAGTAAGCATACAAAAGTTGTCTCTTAGTCTATACTTTGATATGGATTTTAATTTAAACTTGTATACCTAATTTCTGATTTCATATATATTTTTTTGTGGCTGTGCGAAATTACCTTTGAAAGAGTGTATCTTGGGGCGGTTATTTAATTTTGCTGAAAAATTCATTTTGAGCCTATTGTGTCTATCTTGGGTCAAAATATATGAAAAAAAAAAATGTTATATATGGTTATTAATGTTGTAAACTAAAACATTTTTAGTAGATAGGTAGGTACTATAATAATAATTCTATATTACCTACATTTATTGTAGAAAAGTAATTTTTATACCTTATAAAATGAAGGTAATAGTATAAAATATAATTATATACTTTTTTTTATTATCGATTCAAATTTATTTGTAGTAGGTAAAACAACATTGCCTAGGTAGGATAACAAAGAAATTCTCACTGCCAAATACTTAAGGTAATTGCTGATACCTGTATCTACTATCCAATTTATCGGTATAATTATACGTATTATTGTGCCTCATGGCTTATTATTTTCATCCTGAAATACCATCAATATAATATTATGTAATATATTCACTGTTTTAGTATGATTGACTTAATCTGACAAACAGATCCTCAAATACTAGAGGTACTACAGTTTTGATATTTCTGTGTATCCATATAAGATATGCTAGGAAACTGGATTTAAACCTATGAGCTAACTTTCCTTAAAAGGTCATCAGTATATATCACCTATATGGTAAATTAATTGAGTTTATCTACATTCTACATTGACGACATAAATGCATTGTGGTTATTTTTACTATTTATGTAAAATGTTCAATTGTTATTCTTTGGGCACGTTAACCCAGTTTAATGTTGATTCGTTTTGGGAGTAAAACAACTTTCAATTTTATATATAATTTATAAATACTTGCCCTATGTTTATAGTATACATTTTTTTTTTTTATTTCTTGAAAATAAAATTTTTTTTTAAATATTTCAAAACAGCCATTTTGTAAATCTGATTATGAAAATAATTTTGTTGGCGAAAATCTTTATCTAAGTCAAGTTGTTTATTTTTTAGAATTTTTTAAAATATCAATATTTTTTTAGAGTAAATTCAATAAAACATAATACCTAACTTTTTTCAAAATATTATTTTTGGGAATATTCTGACAAGAGTACCTATATTTCTAAAATTACTTTTTATGCATATTATCATTTTCACTATTTTTGTCATTTACGCTTAACTAGCATCAATTTTTTTTTGTTAATTTTTCTGTTACACCGACAACCTGTATATAAAATAAACCAACTAGTTTTTACCTACCTAAATTAAACATTTTATACTCAATAAAATAAGTTTATATCATGTAAGTTTGTATATCAGATATCAATCTGTCTGATATACAGACTTTTAGTAGCTATATCTCAATTCTGTACCTTATTGATGAAAGTTATGTACCTCGTATGATTAATACTGCCATTTTGAAAACTTCAATATTTTCTCAAACAAGCACTTAAAATAAATGTGTATTTAAATTATAAACTTTAAATGAAAAACAAATTTCAACTTCAACCTGATGGTAGTTTAAAAAAAAAATAAACAAAGAATCCCTTTTATGGATTATATTTTATTAATGAATAATACATCTTCTTTAACTTTATATCTTGCTTTATATTTAGTTATATCTACATATTTTGATAATCAATAATATAAATTATTTTGAATAATATAATTTTTCTAAAACTAAGTTATAACAATATAGCATCATATGCATAATACCCCTATTTACTAATAAGGTTGAACTAAACAATAATTGATCATTTTAGAACTGTTTATGTTTTTATTAAGGTTTTTTACTCAAGCCCCTAATTTTGAATAAACTTTTTTTAATTGTTGGCTTTGCCTATGTTTATTTTGTAAGGTAAATAGTTTATATGAAATAGATGGCATGTTTGTTTCAGCATAAACATAAATAATAATTAATTTACAAATGTTTTTATTTTAATAAAATATCTTTGTATTATAGATTTTATCATTGTTAAATATACTTACGGTATAATATATTTAATATTGTAGTATCTATAAGTAATTTTATATTCTTATTAGTATATTTTATTTTGTGTATACAATTATGTACACATTTCAATTAAGGACAAGTTAAGTCAATGGATAGAAATTCCATAATACAACTTAATAAATTATAATCCTATTACCTACTATATTTAGATGTTTTATTATGTGTACAAATTGTTTATTTATGTTGTTGTTATCAATGATGTTAAAATTTTTATTTCGTTCTTTGATTATGTGGTACCCTTATTTTAAATTTTGATTGAATGGAAACTTTGGGATTTTTTTTTTATTTTCTTAAGATAAATTAAAAAGTGGCTTTCATGAATTCTCAACTATTAATTGCATTATTTCTACAACTGAAGGTAAGTATGTAAAAACAAACTTTGATTTAGATTAATTGAGCTTTATGTATAATATATTATACTTATATTCACTATTTAGAAAATAAATCTAGTGTCCCCAAAGTTTCCAGTTCAGTTTGATTTATTAACTAGTAAAAATATGAATATGATATAATGTTAATACTATTTTTAGCTAGTTTTTAATATTTTTGGTATTTTTTTTTTATTGCAGAATATAAAAAGAACATAATGTTGTTGAACACTGAACGCACAGATAAAATGGAGTTAAAACTAGATGTTGTGCCTTCAACTCCAGTGTTAAAATGGAAGAAAATTCTTGATCCTATTGGACCTCAACCGAGGCCTCGCCATGGGCACAGAGCAGTCGCTATTAAAGATCTTTTAATTGTTTTCGGTGGTGGAAATGAAGGAATAGTAGATGAACTACATGTTTACAATGCAGCCAATAACCAATGGTTTATACCTCAGACTTCTGGTGATATACCCCCTGGGTGTGCTGCATATGGTTTAGTTGTTGATAATACTAGATTATTAATTTTTGGAGGTATGGTTGAATATGGAAAGTATTCAAATGAACTATATGAACTACAAGCAAGTCGGTGGCATTGGAGTAAGCTCCAACCTAGACCTCCCCTTTATCATATGTCACCTTGCCCACGGCTTGGCCATAGTTTCACATTGATAGGTAATAAAGTTTACCTATTCGGAGGGTTAGCTAATGACAGCAATGACCCAAAAAATAACATACCACGTTATTTAAATGATCTATATACATTAGATATATCTTCACCAGACGCCTTAGCCTGGGATATACCAGAAACAGTAGGCGATTTTCCACCTCCTCGAGAATCCCACACAGCAGTAGCATATACTGACTCGAGAGGAAAATGTAAACTTATCATTTATGGTGGTATGAGTGGTTGTCGACTGGGAGATCTTTGGACATTAGACATAGATACCATGTCATGGAATAGACCTATTGTTTTGGGTCCTAAACCTCTACCAAGATCTTTGCACACAGCAGTGACAATAAAAAATAGAATGTTTGTTTTTGGTGGTTGGGTTCCATTTGTAGAAGAAGTCAAGTTACCTATACATGAAAAAGAATGGAAATGTACGAATCAATTAGCTTGTCTAAATTTAGAAACAATGACATGGGAGGAACTAAACATGGATATGAATGAAGATAATATGCCTAGAGCTAGAGCAGGTCATTGTGCTGCAAATATACAAACAAGAATGTATGTGTGGTCTGGCCGAGACGGATATAGAAAAGCATGGAATAATCAGGTTTGTTGTAAAGATTTATGGTATTTAGAAGTAGATAAACCACAAAAGTGCGCTAAAAATCAGTTGGTTCGTGCGTCTACTAATGCCCTAGAGATTGTATGGAATAGTGTACCGACTGCAGACGCTTATATCTTACAAATTCAAAAGTATGATCAGCCAGCTGATACTGCAGCTCCAACTCCACCAACAATGATTGATTATTCATTGTTACCATTTTTGACACCAGAATTGGCTAAGAAAAATACTGATAGTGATGATTGTCAAATTTTACCTACTACCAGTACTAAAGCTGGTAGTCCTGCCAAACCAAATCAAATTATACAAATATTACCCCAAAGTTCTACTGTTAACTCCTCTTTAGTAAAAGATCAACAGTTCACTCCTGTTATTGCTCAAGCATCTGGAAACATGAAAATAAAAACTGTTCAAAGCACTAATGTTACACCATCGTTACCACAAAATTTTAAGGCAGTAAGTCCTGTAACACCAAAGACACCTGCATTTGTCAGTTCTCCTTCAATGGACATGCTATCAGATGCTGCCATGCATACTCTTGCTGCTGCTGCATCGGCTACCCAAAAGATCAAAACCACTGTAGTAGTTTCTAAACAATCAGAACTTCCAAAACCTGTGATTAAGACTTCGAGTGCACCATTTAAAATTGTCCAAACACAAAGGTCAATAAAAAACGTTATATCACCTGTAAACACTACAGTGCCACAACAACAAGCAGTTCGTATAACCGGACCAGCTTTACAAACTTCTGTTGCTGGTACAGTTCTTAAAACTGGATCTAATGTTTTTGGAAAGCAAGTAATTTTCCAAAAACCGGGCGGTTCACAATCAAATTTTGTTACCTTAGTTAAGACCAGCCAAGGTAATCTCATACAAGGTATTCCAGGAAAGATGATTGGAACAACTACACCAAATAAAAATATGCAACCATCTGTTCTTAAGTTCATCAATCCTCCAATAAATCAACAGAGTAGTCCTATAAAATCAAATCAAACAATGAAAACAGTACCATTAAAAACGGTTGGAGCAAGACTACCAGTTGCTGCCAATAAACCAACTATTGTTATTCAAAAAAGTAACTCAAATCGATCAGCATCCCCACAAATCATCATTGTGACAACTGGTTCGAATCTCAGGGGCATACAGACTTTTTCAGCCTCTCAAGCTAATATGACCAATCGTACCAGTGTAAGTAATTCACCTGTTCAAATGGTAATGGTATCATCAGGTGGCAATACACCAACAGGAAGTAAACCTATTACAATTACTATGGCTGGAGCTGCTGGTAATCGTAAAATGGTCACACTAGGTAAATCAAATTTAACTGGTATGACAATAGGCGGTAAGCCTGTAACCCTTCAAATGGTTAGTGGACAAAATAATATTTCTATCTTAACTTCAAATTCCGGTGGTAATGTTGTCCAGCTGAAGAACACGAATATTGTGAATACACCCAGTACACCTAGATCTACTGCAATCAATTCCAAAGTACCGTCCTCTGTTAAGCTATCCTCTGATTTACCAGCTAGCACAGAATCTGCACTGACTCAATTAGCTGTGGAAGCAGGCATTATCGAATCGTCCAATAAAAGTAGTAATGACATGGAAGAATCAACCGATTATACAAAGGAACAATTGGAAAATTTGATTCGGGAAGAAGGAATTGAGAGTCTTGATGTTGATATGAACAGCATGGAGGACGGTTCCAATGTTATTGACTGAATAATTATTTTTATTCTAATGGATTCAATAATTCATGGCTCTTTGTTTTATTTATAGTAAATTTTTTATTTTTTCTGCGTAAGCCTGATTATTTAATTTAGTCTATCCCTAGCCTATCAATACTGTACACTATATTTTTCATAAAATGTTTTTTCTAATCACAGAAAAATATGGGTAGTTGTAATTTTATTATGTAAATACAATTTTGTATAATATATAAGAACATAGTATGGTAAAAATGTTAATTTTCATGAATTATTTTGGTTTATATGAAACAATGTTTTTTTTAACATTCAATAGCCCGATTTGTTATTTCTGATAAATTAAAGATTTAATTATGGGTAAGTTTTTATTCTTTGTTTATATTTATAAGTATTTTGGCTCTGTTTATGAACTTAAACTTCACAAATTATGACCTAATTCCTACTTTCAATGGGTTTAGAAATGTGTGCATTTTGTTGACGAAAATGAACCACAACCCTTTTAAGGAAGGAATGCATTATAAAATAACCAAGATTGAAGTATGGCCTAAATGTTAGTATTTACAAATATTAGTTTTTATTTCCCCCATATCTTGGCCTATTTTTATTTGTAAGTATTTTTGAAATATAATGATTTTATGTTAATTTAAATACACATAATAAGCGGTATTTACTTAATTAATAACAGAATTGAATAACTTTGAGTTAAGTTTGTGTTTTCACCATTGTTTCCAACTCGTTTAATTTTAATTTTTTTTGATATGAAATTTTATCTGACATTTTTACTAAATTGATATCGTTTCATAATTATTTTTACCATGTAAATCGTTTGTGATTTCTGATAACACATTACTTGAAAATTACAACATATTGTTAAAATTGTATAATAAACAATATAATATTGTCTTAATATTAGTAGTTTTTTCTTTCTATAGTTAAGAGGACACTACACAGACATTAGTTGTTTCTGTATACAAGTACGTAACATAGCACATTTTACGTTCAGCAGATCACGTTTAGCTCCGTTAGTTTAAAAATTAGAGTGAATTGACCTCTTCTTCAATTAAAAGGTAAGATTATTATCTAGGGCATCTCATAGGATTTTTATTATATTTTAATTTTAAAGCGATTTATGAGTATTTTAAGATACTTTACAATTTTTGAATACTCATAACTCGCTTTAAAATCAAAATATCATAAAAAGCCTTTAAGATGCTCTAAATAATAATCACTCCTTTAAATTTTGTAAGATATTAATTCACTCTAATTTTTAATCTAACTGAGTTTTTTCTGATGAGCGTAAAATTGTTACGCACTTGTAACTTGTAAGACGGAGACAATAAAATATGTCTGTGCAGCGTCCGCTTAATATTGATCCGTTTAAAAATAAAAAATTTTGCAATTACTTCGTAGAAAAAAAAAGTTACTCCTGTGAATAAATTGTATGCCACTTTGATGTGATAGGTTCATAATATTATTGTCCAGGCGTTTTCGTATGCGTGCAAAGCTTCTTATATAATATTATATTATTATGTCACTATTGGTTACACGTCGACGACCGTTAGGACAGCAATCGTCCAAGGTTGTTATGGGTACGTTTATAATCATCGGATTGTTATCGGTTTTGCCTACCAACAAGTATCTCGCCAAATCACTGGTCGTTCATTGTGGACGACTGAAAAACAAATCATGTAACATTCGACATAGGTAACTAGGCTCAAACATCTTCGAAATGCTATATAAACTGAATCCAACACTATTGTTGCCAACTCTCCAGGGTGGTTCAGTATCTTTCGTGGACGTTATGTTACGTTATATATATTATGTTCTATCAAACCGTCCTAATTGCATTTTAAAATTTAATCCGAACTGACTTAAAATTTAAATTTTAGACGAGTTGGTGCAGGTATGCGCAGGAAATTTTAGACTTATTGTTGTACGAGTGTTTCAGCGTTACGTTATTATACTTACAAGTAGTTATAATTACAATATTATTATACTATCGTTATGATTCGTCTTACATAATGTTTTATTGGTGGTGTATATTTTGTATTGATCACATTTTGTACAATAATATGTGTATTGGTGTTTAGCGATTTTTATCCATTTATTATTGTCATCAATGAAATTCTGAATAGGAAAAATGCTCTATTTGCTATTTTTTTATTGCCTACCAGATCGTAACTGTTTATAGCTCGCTTTATAGGTGTTTGTCTTATTATCGCGTCGTAATGTTAGGATTTATACTTGTGTGCACAACATTATTACTATGTAGTGTGATTTATGAGTAAGATAACAAAGTTCATAACAACTATGTATTAATTATGAAACTGCACGCTTATCTTATTTTTCTACCCACAACTTTCTATAATAAGTATTATTATTTTGTGATTGTTTAATGCGTCTTTGGTCTTTAGGCTCTATAAAATGGATATGTTTGGCCGTAGGTAACATAATATAGGTAGTACATTATTTGTGAAAGCTGTAGAAATTATTTTTTTCACATTATTTCTAAAAATTATTTATTGGTGAGACAAAACACGAAGAGCTCGTATATATTAATAATAATTTTTAAAAACAAAAACATTTTTCCTTAACCGTAATTGTGTAATGTGTATTGTATGCCTATATTGATTTTTTTTTATAAGTAATTTTTTTGTTTCACACTTCACGCATACTCACTATTAATTTTATTAAAGTAATATTCAACATGTAAAGACCACAGGGGAATAACGTATCTAAGTCAATTTTTAGCTACAAGATTTTGAATGTTTAAAATTATATCGAGAACAGATTGTACAAGGTACAATCTATTTATAAACGTTTTGTCGTATTTAAATGTAATATTTGTATTGTTACTATCATATTTTATTTTATACCACTTCCACTTTAATTAGGAGAATAATTTTTTAAGACTGAAAGGCGACATTTAGAAAAGAAATTGACTTATGACGTTTTCCCCTGTAGTTATGCGTTTTAGATATTTTATACGTAAGGACATAATGCATATTTTCTAATCAATGTTACCCACTAACTGAAGTAAATACCGTGAATTTGTTGTACCCGTAGTTATAGTTTTTCATTACTTAAGAAATTATTTAGGTACCTACTATCTTTATAATATATATATATATTTTTGAAACGATTAAAAACACGAATAAATTATTTTTAAATATTACCTTTGCAGTTTACTTTTTTTTTTGGTGTTATTTCTATATACGAAATGAATAAATAAAAAACAAACATTTTGAGAGTGTTAATATAGCCATACCGCCAAATGGCCATACTAAATAACATATTACTATATGAGCAATGACGTTTCTTAAAATTTTACCTAGGTTGACTATAAAATATTAAAATGGGAACTTGTATGTATAATTTATAAGTTGATTTTTTATGTAGGTAATCGGTGACGTAAATAATTGTAACTTGAGTACAAATTATTTATTTATTTCCTACAGAGTTAAAAATGTACTTTTATAATTAATTTTATAAATGATTCAATAATGACAAGTAAAATATTGTACCTATGGATTTTGCGTACTAGGTGCGCCTGTCTATAATAATATTACCTACCTACTGTTAAGAATAAATGCTGAGTTTTATCGACAAGAATAATAATAATATGAAAAAATTTTAATTTACATATTTATTGAAGTAACAAATATAAGTAAGTATATTTACGCAATATTTACTATTAAATCATTGAATTATTCAACAATATAGGTAGTATGCATGGTAGTATGGTACTTTGTTATTGTGTAACGATATTCCTTAAGAGGACGCTACACGGACATTTGTTGTCTCCGTCTTACAATTGCTTAGAATTTTGCTATGTTACGTACTTGTAAGACAGAGGCAAAAAAAAAGTCCGTGTAGCGTCCTCTTAACAATGGTTATAGAAACAAATAAGAATAAAATATTTAAAGTCATTAGATTAAAAATATGTAACATCAGCTCAAATAATGTGGGACGAAAAGAGCCAAAAGAGTAGACTAAAACTAAATTATCAATAGTTTTTGTCGTTTATATTACATCTATATAGATGTTGACAATTGATAAGATAAACATTCATGCGATATGTATATAAATAATGTGTATTAAACATAATATTTATTATAATTTTTGTGTTAAAAAATATCGTATAAATACAATTTTATTATAACGATTGCATGGATTTTTCTAGAAAAAAGTAAAACATCTATACTCTGTTAAATGTTAGTTTAATTTTAGCGGATTTCTACAATTATACTAACATTTGCATAATTGCATAACTCCTCTCAGTCGGATAAAATTTAAGAGTAATACACAACGACAACATACACACATAGAGCTGGGAGGCCAGGCTGGGTTTTATATGAGTGTCGAACCTACGAGTCGCACCGAAATTATTTTGCAACATCCAACTCAAACATTAGCAAAATACTAAAATCACTAAAATCTTAGTCATTATTAATCATTGTATCTAATATTAGATATTGATATTTATCGTTTTATTATTTGTTTAGATACGATTTAGGTTATAGTTCTGCCTAAACAATTGTTCATTAATCAATAACTATATTAATTGAGGGGTACAGGGTACTGTTGCCAAAAATTCGTTGATTTAGGTATATCATCGGAAAATGTACATTCTATAATAATAGTGACCGTTTCTTTGGTAGTTCGGACTGATATAGTATATAATTATATAATAGATCAATCAATATAGGTGGGATACGTAGGTATATCAGGAGGTCACTTATTTTAGTATTTTGTTGCCAGGTTTAAAAAAATGTGTGCCTCCTTCAGTTGTATACAACATAGATTTTATTTTCATTTAATTCAATGAATTCGTTCAATATTTTACAATTACATAAACAACTTGCAACAACTGCAGTAAAGTGCCTCACGAGACATGAATAACATTTAATATATTATGATTTTTTAAATCAGTTTTTTTTGTAACAGGTATCTTATAAGCCAAGACATGGATTGTAAATTGTTTCAAATTTTTTTTCTTTTCATCTATAGAAACAGAAATTAAATTATAGGTACTTGGTTCATCTGTAGGTAATTATATTATTATAGTCAATTGTTCAATATCTTCAGTGAATGAAATAATTTATATATTTTTAAAAACAAATTTTACAATCTTTGTTTTTTTGTCAAATGTTAGAATTATTAACAAAACATGGATTTCCTGAATAGGTAGTGAACACACATTTTACATTTATAAGTTATAACTAAACAAATTCGAACATATGTATAACCAATAAGATAGGTACTAATTTCAACAATTTATTAACAATTTTTTTTTTATTCGATTGATAAGACTTCGAATATTCTGAGGTCATTAGCCTGTAATAATTAGTAATTACTAATTACATACTGATCTTAAAACTATGGGGATACCGGATACATTATGTTTAACAGTTGAAGGAGTTTGTGAAATATATTAATTTTTTTACAGTAGGTAGTTTTGCTAAGCCTATGTTTCCAAAAAATGTTTAGAGATTTTTCGAGTTTTCCTCGCCAAGTGCTTGTTGCATCGTTGATGGGTTTCCGTGAATTTTTCTGAAGCTGTTGAACTTCGGGCATTCTAGTGTGATGTGTTTGATTGTTACAGAGTTCACACATCGGGCAGTCTTCTTTTGTTTTGAGGTGCAAGTGTGTTGAACGGGAGTGTCCAATAAGAGTCCTTGTGATAACTATTCTTCTTGCCTGGATGAGGGTGAGGGGATATTCATGGGACGATTGATGTTTTAATTCGTTTAAATTTTTATTAACATTTTATTATAATATCATATGACTCTCAAAATGTTCAACTAAACCAATGGCCAATGCAATCTATTTTTTATGTCAAATTTGCTTACTTAATCTTACTTAGGTACCTATTTTCCAAACTGTTCCTTCTGATTTCTTTAGAACATGATCTAATGTACCTAGGTACTTATGAAAAATAATATTTTTAGCTGAGATTATGGTTTCCGGTGTTATGACTTTATACTAAACACGTCTTTATGTTGAATTAAATTACCTCTAGTAGTGGCAGCAGCTGTTTTCTAGCTTTAATCATTTATAAGAATGATAATAAGGGTGATATATATCTAATAGCAATCAAGTTTGATTTAATATAATATCTGCGCTAAATAATAATCAGATTCTAGAACCAGAATTCGAATTTAAATAGTAAAAAATACAACACTCTTAAATTTAACTTAAAATAACCCAAAGTCTAAGTTGCTAGATGCAGGACTAAAATTACCTGTGGCAATTACACCCAATGTACCCCCCTAAATTTGGCACTGGGTATAATATGTAGTGGGTTTGACTTCATTGAATATTATTTTACCATAAATGAATAATTCCTGTTATAACATTGATTATAAATTAATTATAATGTACCTATTGTATTAATATTTTATATTAGTGTTCTTACTTCTTATGCTGGTTATATAGGCACCTATCCTAAATTATAAGGCTTAAATCGACAATTATTTTCTAAAAGTAAGTAGTTATTGAACCTTTGCGTTATCATGATAATTTGAAGTTTATTTAATTATTAAATTAGTTTATAGTAATTAGTAGGTACTAGGTAGGTACCTATGTAATATGGATCATGATTCATGAAGCTGCAAAATATGGGTATTAAATTACTAAAATTAAGATAGGTATAGATAATCTATAATTTATATACTAGTATCTAGTTAGTGCATAAACAGTGAATATACAACAGTTTATACTAAATTATATGTACTTTATAGTTGTATATTGTGTCCAATAAGTTCGCAATTCGTTACCCACCTATTACGGATAAGGTATTAAAGCTATTGTTTTAGGTGAATTTTCATATTATGTTGCTATACAAACTTATATATTTGTAAAAGCAAATATTCGTTATTTATTCAAATTTATTGTTAAGTACCTATTTACTGTTTAGTTGCCAATCTGTGATCAATATAATTAGATTTTTTTAAGTTGATATTTTGGCGTAATTTATTTTCGTAATAAATTGCAAGTAAAACAAATAGGTGTCATTTCCAACTTGGCAATTTAAAGATAAAATAATTATTTGAATATTTATCAACATTCAACATTGTAGGTTTAGCAAGTTAATGAACAACTTCAACTCTTATAAAAGTTAAAAAAAATGAACACTGCAATGGTAAAACTGTAAAAAGATATAATTCAATTTGAAAATCTTGATTATTAAGGTGTCTTGTAAAAATAAAATGTTCTTCGTAGTTTTCACCATCAAAATATTAGACTTTTATATTTTTTATCAACTTAAATTGTCAACGAAAATGAAAAAGCATTTCACCTATTACACTATTTCAATCAATACAGAAATATGTGCGTTTCCTGGAAAGTAGGAAGGTAGGTAGTGTTTAGACTTATTCCTTTTACCCGCTTACCGAATAAATAATTCAACGAACCAAAAGTTAATAACTAATAAAATTCTTAAAAAAAACAGTTACGTATAAAGTTAAAACTCAATAAATTAAGATAATATATACGTCCCAAATGAATTTTTTAAATATTTATAATAATACATTATATTTACACCTAAAGGTCATATATTATAAATAAAATACTCGTAAGGCTTAAACAATGAATTGTAAACATATTAATATTATACCTTTTTGCAAACCATTAAATTAGAAGTGATTCTTTGAAATATTTTGTAAGACCATTGGAAATTGTTAGTATGTATCTAACCTACCTATTTAATTTCTGAGATGTAATATTTTTTCAAGTAATTAATTAAAATGTTTTATTTATTATATCACTGAAGTCCCTTTATTGTTTGAAGTTAGTAATTCAATATTTTTAGACTTTTACCAACCGCCTTAAGAAAAAAAAATAAATATTATTTATCAGATCTACGGCCTATTACTGTGTGAAATGGGCCGACGAGACATTCTGTAAATAATGCGTATATCTTGCTAACATAGATATTCCACTCACACCCCTGTCGTTGGAAAACAAGATAGAATTACAATAGAACTCAACGAAGCGGCGATTACGATAAGGTATAAAGTACCTCTATAATTTGATAAATGTGTGTTATTAGATATCGCATATTGGTTCAAACTACTGTTTTTGTTTTTTTTTTACGTTCATGTCTATTCATTCGAGAAAATGTTTAACGATCTGATATTTTTGGGTACACTGATAAAACCCCTACCATTGCCACATTTGCAGTATTATTGCGCCTCTGCAGGAGTTCATATTTTTATTTTTATAATGATATAATATGACGATTTGAAAGGGTTTTTGTGTAAGATTATCAATCAGTGGCGTAGCCAGGATTTTTTTTTTTGAGGGGGCTAATCAACTTTTACACTTTTACACATTAATTACATACTAGCACAGATAGATAGCTGAAAAGTGTTAAATACTTATAGGTAGTACATTTTTAAATATTTTAAATACAATTTAAGAATTTTTGAGCGACTATCATAGACCATTAAAATAATTTTTTAATTTTATTAACATTTCAGGGGGAGGGGGTTGCAGCCCCCTCAGCCCCTCCCCTGGCTACGCCACTGTTATCAATATTCAAGATCGCGAACGAGTGCAAACGGTGAAAACAAATCGCGCTTAGGAGCTCTATTTTTTGGCCGATAAGTCTGTAGGCACTGGTACTCGGTTGTCGGTACCTAGTTGTAAATATAATTATGAAAAGTAACAAATAGGTACTACCTTTATGTTATTATCAGCTCTACACATTTACAATCATTATTTATGTTTTAAAATTAAACCATAACGCAATAACGTATTATAATTTATAAATAATAATATGCAAGCTAGTCTTAAGGTTTACACAAACATTTTTTTTCTAGTATCACGTTGGCCAACTTTACATGATTGCGAGGCACAGCTACGAACAGACGGAAAACGGAGAGGGCGTAGAGACCATAATCAATGCTCCCTGCGAAGATCCCGTCCACGGAAAAGGGCAATTTACCGAAAAAAGGATACATTTGTCAAAGTAATCTTAATTTTATCCATTACATTACACATAGGCTTTATGTCTTACGGGTGCATTGCCGGTTTAACAAACGTTTTATTTTATAATATTATCAGTTATGCACCTACAATATTATACATGATAATATATATTATATAGTACCTACCTACCTACTTTAAACATTATATTATAAATTATAATAATAATAATTAATACACACATGATGTTAACATTGGAAAAACACTTTTTGAAAGTTCTTATCCAACAGTAGGTATCTATTGTACTTCAAATTTGTGCCATTAGTATATTTAGTTGCTAATTTTTATACCATGTCATAATATAATGTATATCAATATATTACTTTTAAGTCAATACCGTTTTAATGTTGAAGTCGTCATTATCTTTTAAATACTAAATCACAATATCTATGTTTTATTTTCTTGTGGTGCGGTATCTGGCATAAGTCACTGATGTGCTCTGAGTGACAGCACCGGCCGTGGGTGACCATTCAGGTTTTTAGTGGCAGATCCCCTTGTCACACCTACATGCATGTTCTAAATCAACCCTACCCCAAAGTAATAAAACCTACTAAATAACTCGGGCTCATGGGCCATGGCATCAGATGTTGAAGATTTAACTTAATTTAAAATAATTAATATATATTTTTAATGTTATCACGTGTTTATTGATTAGGTAGGTTCCATTGTTTTTGTAAGTTTTAGTGCCGAGAATATAGTTTTTTTAATATTGATATTGTTAAATATTTTTTTTCAGTCGTTTACCATATTGGGTTCAAGCGATCATTCCAAAACTATTTTACATCATTGAAAAATCGTGGAACTATTATCCTTTCACGATTACAGGTAATATTGCTTAATATAATATATATTAAATACATTTGTACCTATATTATATTAAATAAACTATCAGTTTATAATTGAAATAGAGACTTGAAGCTAGTAAATTCAGTAGGTACGGTGCAGAGTAAGTTACCTAAATATATTTATGACTTGTTAATTCTTTAATAAGAAGCAATTATAATTTTAAAATCGAAAAATGTTAAATAATTACTATTAGTTGGTGTTTATTACAATATAATATCAACTTTTTACAAATAGTAGATGACTATAAAAAATAAATTATCAGTTAGTGTGAAGTAAATTTAGGAACAAACAAATATGATACATCGATACGAAAAAATCCTAAGATTTTGTACAAATTGATTTAAGTGTATATAACGTATAATGCATTTGCTATTAATTTTGTAATAATATACCAACGTCCTACGTAATATACCCACATAGAATATAGAAACACATCACACATTGTAGAAAGTTTGGAAAATCTAAGAGTGTAGTGAGATTGAGATTACTATATTTAGAGGTGTAGAATAATATATAGGTTATAGGTACTTACTACTTTGGTAACGACAACATACATTAATTCGTAGTATTTTGAATTCGACAGGGTAAAATAGACGAAATTAAATTTTAATACACATATATAGGTACATATGTATTGTATCACTGGCACTTATAGGCACATGACACATAATGTATGCATGCACACGTAGGTTCTAAAAATAACAGCAATACCGTACTTATATACGTTACTTAATAGTTAACCTCAAGTCTCAAGTCTCAAGCTTAACATGTTTAATATGTTTATTAGTCTAGTATAATATATAATAATATAATATGTTGCTTTTGGTTGGTTTCATGTCTTTGCTCGGAAATCGGATTTTCAGAATATACCGTAAGTATTTGTGACGATTATTATATAAGTAATATCAATTATACGTGATCAAAAATCTTTATTTTCGAGTAAATTAATATTTATCATTTATTTGTTTTTTTTTCCACCAGTGCTCGTTTATTCCGAAGTTGAGCGTTACTATCCACACGAAATTCGAAGATAACCCAGGAACAACAGAGAACGTAATTATTTGTATTATAATATTATATTAATTATTTACATTGCGTGTACTGAATTTGAAATGTTGTTGTTGTCTTAAATTCACAGTGCCTTGGGTTGACCGGCGAGAAACTAGTGGAAAGGATTGTGGATTTCGTGGACGTCGCATACGACGAAGTCAGTCCAAAACACTACAAAGAGGAAGAGGTACATATAATGATAATTGTGTGCAAATATAATATACATAATACATATAGATTTATATATATTATATTATATCTTGCAAGATTAGGTACATGTGAATGTGTAATTGTAATATTCATGTGGTCACACGTGTTTGTATGTGTGTTTGTAGGATCTGAAGTTTTTCCAGTCCAAAAAAACCATGAGGGGTCCCCTGCCGGAAAATTGGAAGAATACAACTTCACCAATAATGTGCTCGTACAAAGTTGTCGAGGCGTCGTTCGAGGTGTGGGGCATTCAATCCAAGGCCGAGGAATATATTCAAAAAGTAAATACAAATGTTTGCTTTCAGTATAAGTGTCACACAAACACAATATTATGTACAGGTATTGTAGTTATTGGAACAGAGTGCCTAGGTATATAAAAAGTTGTACATAAACTGTTACAATATGATTATAAAATATTTTGTGATCGGTAATATAAACGTCATTAATAAGTAATAACTATAGATATAGATACCGAATTACCGAATAATAAAATATTTTTCTATTTCTATTTTAATGAAATGTTAAGACTTGAGATATTTGTAAATAATTTATAATTTTTGTCAATAAGTACACTAATAATTTAACGTTTAGGTATAGCCTATAGGTAATCAATAATCATAATATGATACTTATAATACCTATATATGTACCTTGTAATTATGTTTGATTAATTGATATCTACCATCGGGGCCAATTCGGGATATTGGTATTAGTGTATTACATATCGCGGGGATGGTCTACAGAAAATCTTCGTTATTTCAAATCCCAAATGGCTACTTCGTAAATGATAAATTATTATAGTATGTGTCCGTTGTAAAATCAAATATAGGTATAAACGAACGACTACAATATTCCAGTGAATCTCGTAATGTTCTTCTTCTTATATTTTTACTTTATTAAAAAATTGGACCACAGTTAATATTTAAGATTTATAATAATATATTGTTATATTAATATTGCATTTATTATAAAATTCATTGCACTATTTATATAATCTGTTTAAACGGTATTATATAACACGAAACATAGATGTAATATATGCTTAAACAAGTCTATATGTTCACTAAATTCTAGTGATTAGACTGCAGATCACGATGTTACCTACATCGTGCTGCAGATGATCCCAACCAAGGTGTAGCCAACTTGAATTGAGGGTGCCGTGAAATTATTTCAAATATAAAGCAATCATACATATTTTCACAATTTAAAAAAATTGATATTATGAAAAACATACATTATGTTTAATGTAATAACACAGATTATATAAAACCTTTTTTTTTGACGTGGTATCGAGGAATGGAGGAGGAACTGCGGATGGTAGTGTTTCCCCTCCGGGCCCCATCGTTATTGTTGCAACAAAGCATGTTAATTACAACAATAGCGTCCGGTGGACACGCCTTCGCTACCTATCTGACTTTCCTTAGCTTTCGCTAGTAAGTTTATGTCTGCCAGGGTGCAGATTATACAAAACCTATATATTGTGTTGACTGAAGGTTATAAAATATAACTTATAAGTACATAATACTACTACAGGGAACTTCCGGATTTTTAGAAAATACTTTAGGGTGCTGTAGGTCAAAAAATGTTGGGAACCTCTTCATTAGAGTATAATCTCATAGAAACCTTGATTGCCAAGCAGTAGCCGTTAAACGAGGGGGTTTATAAGGGGATAGAGCTATGATTTCCTCTTCAATATTTATAATAATATAAATTATAAATTATAATTTTAAGGATTAAATAGAGCAAGTAAAAATATCAGCCCCCCTCCGTATGACGAAATCATTTAATCACCTCTGATGCCAAATTATTTCGTATAGTTAACTTATTCAATAATCAGAAACATGGTAGGTTGTTTTGGTATAAGATTCGTTTTTTGCTTAAACTGACTAAAATTTGATAAAAATGTTTAAAATATTAAAGTTATAAAGTTTCAAAATCAAAATTAGGTGTTTTGAGTTGATTTATATTAGGAAATTTGTTTGTTTGGTTAGCTTCGCATGGAACATAGGATAACTTATATTATTATAAGGAAGAGGGACTCTAAAAATTTACAAAATATTCAACTACCTATAATATACATTGTATGTACAGTTAAAAATCAAAAATATAAATAACTTCTTAAGTATTTTATTATAAAAGAATATATTTACAACCTGTATATATAAGGTTTCAATACAATAAGTAAAAGTTATGTAAGAAACTATACGTGTAAGTTATGCTTGAATGAAGGGAGTGTCCATACCTACATGTTTTAACGATTTTTGTTTGCAAACAATACATTTACATGAATACAACTTGTTAGGTACCTAAATGTTTATTGTAGACCAACAATTGACATAAAAATTCCCAAGTAACGACTTGTCGTATTTTTCGCAGACGATTCGTGAGATCTTGTTGCTCGGTCACCGTCAGGCCTTCGCGTGGATCGATGATTGGATATCGATGACGATCGCAGACGTGCGCACTTACGAGTGTGAAATGCAACGCAAGACCAACACCAAAGTGAACGCCTGCGTGACGGACGCCGAGGCCGGCGAAAACCCAAAGACGTTGGATGGCGAAGGCGGCGGCGGGGGACTTAAGTCTCCCAAATCTTTTTCACCACTGACCAATCTGTTCTCTCCGTCGTCGTCGTCGTCGTCGCCAGGTCAAAACAATACCTCGTGGTTTTCCTGGTGATGATTTCGACGTCGAACCGTCTTATTCGATTACGTAACAACACCTATACACAATTATATATTGTACTACAACACTCAAATTTTTTCTTTTCCTTTTCCATCATGCGACTTTCACTTTCGGACGAGCTTTAACATACCTACGCGTATCTTATTTCGTACATTATAATTAAAATGTATCTTTAAACTTTTTGCTAATCGTAGGTATATATGTTTATAATATATACGTATTAATGTTTTCTTATAAACATTACACTGCTTACAAAATATTTATCTATCATACATATTTCGTCTAAGTCATTTTTCTATATTTTTCCAGTAGTTCTCGATAGTTTTATTTTTTTTTTAATATATAAAACTGTGTTTTTGAACAAATTTTTGTATTACTTGCAGTGTTTAACAATATTTTTCGAACAAACTTTTGCTAGAAATCATTGACTATATAGGTACATAATGTTATAGAGCAACAACTATATCTGAATAGAGCGTATAATATAATATTTATTTTCATTGAACTCCACCTTAATATAATATATCGACTTAATACCCACCAACAGTATTAATACGATTCGGAACGGGTTTTCTCGTTGAATCTATATACTTATATACTGCTGCCGCCTTGTATTGTTCGGTAGAGCATAACGCAATTACGATCAAAATGATAATATGCTTTACAATTGTCTTCAAACGAGAATCGCATTTCGTTCACAAACTATCGATTTCAATTATTGCTACGAGCGTGCAGTGGAGTATAATATATAAGTTAATTTTCAGTGCCTTCTGAACGCATACCTATCTATGTGTGGGGTAACAAAAAAAAAAATTTAGTCATTTTGTATTAGGGAGTAGGTGAAAATAATTATTCTCAAAGTATTATTATTATTATTTTATAATTTATATAATATTTAGTATCTATCTAAATAATGCTTGCATTGAAAATTTTAAATTAAATACATTTGATACCCCGCAATATGATTCAACATAACAGTTATTATATTTAGTTACCTATTGTACGCGTATCGACATGGTTTATTTTGTATTTACAGTGGCATAACTATTAGAATAACTACCTGCTGTGGGAACCGTAACTATCTGTACTATATATTAATATATTATGCACATTGCACCAGTGAATTTTGTGCGGTGTAAAATGTATTTTCACCGATTTAACTATACTTACTTGTATTATGTTACATGAACGATGAACACTTCAGTATTGTCAAAATTCGTAGTCATAATTATTTTATTTTTTTTATTAATTAACACGAACTTGTGTTGTTTTGTATGTTTTAACTAAATACGATGTTCTGAGACTTATTCTCAAAACAAAATTTTTTTACCTGTTCATTTTATTTTGTTGTTATTAATCTAGATAAATTATGTTGATTTTTTTAATGTCAATGTAACACTTTTACTATTCACACTATAATATTTGGGCAAAGTTGTTAATATTATATATTTTTAAGTAGGTATACAAACAAAACAAAAGACGTTTGGCCATATTGTGATGGGCTTTGAAACCTTATTGATGACAGGTAGATAGATAATACTATGTCTATATAATATTCTAACACGTCTTGTGTATACCATACAACTTTTTCGTGTGATCGAGCAATAAATATTATCGTTTGTTAAAACAATATTATACCTACTGTTCACATGTTTACCTAGTCATAAATCTGTACCCCGTTATCTCATGGCCGCCGTATTCGCTTCACGTGGGGGTTTGACTTGTTGTGAAGTCCATAATAGGCACTCCGGGCTAGGAAAATGGACGCATGGAAAATGGTTGTCTTGACGTGAGCTATTTCGACGACTGCACCTGTAGTCTGCAGCAATATATGGCACGAGCGGCCGTAATTTTGCAGAATTTCTTTCAGGTCCACCGCGGTACTGTCGTTGTGCCCGGACGTTTCAGCGGGTACAAAATTCAGTGAATTGTGCACGTCCTCAACGGCCCAGAACAAGTGCATGAGCGTCAACAAGACGGATGGGTTTCGAGTGACTTGCAGCGGCGGTTTCCGCGAGGATTACTCGGCCGAAGAGTGAGTAAGTCGCGAGCGATTATTCGCTTGCACTTATATATAGATATAGCGTCAAACCTATCGAGATATGAGTGGTTAATGAGACTTTTAAGATGACAATTTGATGGATGTCGTTAAAATTAATAGGCCATATAACCTACTGGCAGGTGGGATGGGCAAAACACACGCCTCTTCGTGTATTTCAAATACAAAATACATCAGATTTGGGCACTGAAATACAAAATACATTATACGAATTTAATTTAATTTATACGAGAAAAATACAATTAAAATACACCGCTACTGTTTTAGATTTTGAGAGGAACGTTCTGAATGTATTGGTTAGGTCGATGTTCGTTTTTTTATTTTAGTCTAGAAAAACTGGGATTTTTACTCAAAACCAGTTTTTGACAGTAGGTTTTGTTTTTTTGTTGTAATTAAAAAATGAATAACTTTGGTATAACCTTCTCAACATTTTTACCAAATATTTATATTATAATTTATTTGACATAATATCATTTTCACAATATTTATGCTCTTTTTGTTTTATTAATAGATATTTTAAATTTATGACTAAATTAATTTTTGATTTATTTATGATGATATTTTTGCATGAGTAAATTATTTGAAGATGTATTACAATGTTCCTCATAATTTGTTCTTACTGCAATAAAAAAAAATCAAAAATACATTCTCACAGATTTTTCGTTTACAAGTGTTAAATATTTTCGAAATTTTCAAAACATTGAGTCCAATTTTAAGACACCTAGGTGCTATTTATAGGTATTGGATTTTTTGATTTTTTTTGGTGAAGTGTTGATAAAAATGTTTAGGTTTGGTCAAAAGCCTTGAAAATTTAATATAAGACCCTAAATAAAGTATTGTATACAAATATTTGAAATAAAAAGGCACAATTTTTTTATAAGCGTTTGAATTTCAAATGTTGACATCATTTGACTTGCAAATTATTTTGTAGTGAAAAATGTATAATATTCCAATCTTTATGGCTTATGATTGAATATGTAATACAAGGTCTAAAAAAAGTAAAAAATTGTATTAATATGTATTAATAAAATCATATTATTTATATTATAAAGCTTAATCTAAATGGAAGCATGCTTATTTTTTGAACATGGTAGACTTCTGTGGAACATTAGCTAAACATGTGTTACTTATAATATGTTGTTTAATTTTATATACCCAGCACAAAACATTATCGTAATAAACTCGGTGTTTATCTCAGCTAAATCATATGATTTTTGCTATTACCCGCATCATTTTATTAGTTACAAGAGTTATTCATCGTTTGATAACAAAAGGTTCAACTCTAACTATACAATTCTTTGCAATTAACCGTTCATTGTGACTGCCGTATCTTTAAATCTAAAGTAAACAGTTTGAGGAGATAGTTTGATCTAAAATTAAACATTTATAAATATTTAACGGAAAATGACTTTAAAATAAAAAAATTCCTTAAAAATCAAAAAAAGTTAATAAAATGCAAATAGATGCAAAATTAAAGTAGAATTTTTTATTTCTTTGATACTCAAAACAAACTTTGTGCTTGGAAAGTATTGTTTTTGATGTTTCAGAAAAAAATTAATTCCTAAAAAAAGGAATCTTAGTTATAAGCATTCAAAGTTTAGATTGGCGGTGTTGAGGATCAGGGGTACTCCGTACAATGTTGTCAAATAGGTACTCTGCTAATCTACAATTGAAGTATGGGTACTCAGAACTAATGAACTCTCCACCGAAATTTGATTTTTATGCATTGAAAAACTCCGAATAATATTCTGCTTTGGAATATGAAATAAAAAAGGTGGGTAAGTGGATGTCGCTCTGCTGTACAGTTACTGTACTACAGTAGGTTACAAGTGGGTCACTGTATAATGGATGGTATTAAATTTGAATTCAATGATACAATATCATTGTATAAGAAAAACGATTCTGAGCGAAGACGGTATGTCAGTCTAGGTTTAAGACAAATTATATACATATCTTTGGTATTAAAAAAATTGACCTATAATAAATTCCAAATTAATCATATCACATTATCACAATATCCATTAGGTACTTATAACACGTTATACATCAACATCAATAACAAACCCTGATACTATCATAGATATATAATAGTACACTTTAGAAATTTCAAGTAGGTACCCACGAATAATATTATATAATCACAACAAAATAACTAGGTTTTTTAATATGTAATTTCGTCCAAATTTGAACATAAAATGACTATAAAAATAAACTGTGATTGTATATTTTTTAGATTTTTCGGTAAGAGAATTAACTACTTACGTGGAATCTTGTTTTAAATTTTCAATCCTTAGCTATAAAAACTGAACATTTTATAATTTATCAATTACGATGATTAATAATTTTCGAGATTTTGAAAAATTCTGTCAAAATTCGATGTTTAAATGCTTATAAAAAAAAAATTGTGCATATGTATTTTTAATATTTTTCAACTGAAACCGCTGGGAGGCCTCTACATTCGGGATAATCTGTCATTTATTTTTTATTTTATTTTATTTTTTACTTTCATCAATTGTTCTTATTGTTCGTGTATTGAAACAGATTGAATAAAATATTTTAATTACAAAAAAAAAAATCCTTGTATTCAATTTTTACACTTTTTGGCCCAACAGATAAAACTTAATTGATATTCATAGAAAAAAAAACTAAAAAAATTGAAAAATGAAAATATCCGTAAACTGCTCTAAAAGCTTTAAAATATTTTAAACATTTTATCAAGTATTAAAAAAATATCAAAAATTAAAATGTCCCTAAACAGTTCAAAATAAATCAAAATATTTTGAAAATGTTATTGTGTATAGAAAAGGCAAATATAAACAACCAGTCAAAATGTCATGTTCCTACAGTCATTTGTTTTAAAGTTACACCAAAAACCAAATTAGATTTTCTGAAAAATCGATTTTGCGTCAAAATTCCCGTTTTTCCTTAATTTTTC